GCCCTCTAGCAGCCGCCGGCTGCTGCCGAAGTCTGCGAGCCGGCAGAGGGCGCCACCGCATGACAGCATCACGTTGTCGGGCTTCACGTCGAGGTGGACGACGCGGCACGCGTGAACGTACTCGAGCGCCGACGCCACCTGGCGGGCGTAGTCGATGCGGCGCGCGTACGGCGGCAGTGGAGCGGCGGCGAGCGCCTGCCGCAGGTTGGTGGCGCCACCGTACTCCATGACGACGGTGCGCGATCGCGGCGACACGGCGATCGTCGCGATGACGTGCGGGTGCTGCAGCCCCGCCGCGTTCATCTCCCCCGAGGTGGCGCCACTTGTCCGACGTCGCCGCGCCAACTTCACGGCGACGACGCGCCCGCCGGCGACACCTAGGTGCACCGAGCCGAACCCGCCACGTCCGATCCTCTGCAGCACCCGCGCCTGCTGCGCCGCCAGGGGACGCTCGCGGTCGGTCAAGCGACGCCAGTTCCGCGGTGGCGGTGGCTGCTTGCACGGCTGAGGCGTGAAGTGCGCTCCGGCAGCCCGCAGCCGGTAAATGGTGCCACGGTTGCGCCGGCCGGTAGGTGGCGTCGCTGGCGAGGCAGCGGGCGAGGCAGCGGGCGAGGCGGCGGCGGAGAGATGCTCCCTGAGACGTAGAGGTGTGACGATGGATGCGCTGAGCTTTCCACCGGCTGGCTTACCTGAGAATATGCGAAAACTGAATACAGGAATACTGGAATACAGGGAATACTGTTATGTGGGAATTACGGAGGGGGGGGGGAGTTAGTGGTGAAGTGATCTCCTGCAGGTGTTGCCGTCGATGTTATCACAGTTATTTATTATTATTGTCACAGTTATTATTAATCGCGATGACAAATATCGACGTGAGGGTTGGATTATGAGTGATAGTGGTTCAATAAATAGTAAATATAAATTACATTGAATACATATGAGTGTGTGTGTATGCATATATAGATAGACAGATAGATGCACGGATGAGCGGATGGATGGCTTGATGGATGGATAGATGGGTGAGTGGGTGAGATCTGGGTGGGTAGATATATAGAGAGATAGATAGGTAGATATATATATATATATATATATATATATATATATATATATATATATATACAGTTATTAGTAT